AAAAAAAAAAATAGTTAAATGAAATTAGGTCAGACTATTTTAGTTTGGGTGTATTAAAATAAATCAAATAATATATGATATGTATAAAAATTATTAAATAATATAAATTTTTTAAAATAATGTTAATCCAATATAAAAATAATAAAAATAAATTCAAACAAAACAAATCTCTTTTAAAAAATAAATATTTTATTTTATAAAAAATAGTTATAAATAAAAAAGAAATTAAAATCGAATATATGTAATTTTTATAAAATCCAAAAAATGCAAAAGTAGGGGGAACTAGGGGTGGGCACGGGTCGGGTACCCCCGTTTTTTAAGAAACCCGATCTCGGTCTCATCATCACGGGTTTTACGAAAAAATTATCTCATTCTTGGCTTCATGAGATCCGGGTACCCCTAACCCGGGTTCAATGAGATTCTCAGTCTCGTACTCACGGATACCCGGATCTCATAAATAAATAATTCAAATATTCTATAATTTATAAAATTCAATAAAAATAACTTAAACAACATTCAAAACTCGATTTTATAAATTATAAATTCGATTTCATAAATTAGAAAGATTGAGAATATAGAAAATAATTAAATAAAATAAAAATATTTTAATAAATAATAAAATACCTTATATAAATATTATAAATATAAAGATATTTTAATTTTTAATTAATATATCGGGTATCCGGGGTACCCGTTATGAGTTAATCGAAATCCGAACCCGGACCCGGGGGTCAAAAACTCGGCCTCGTTAAACCCGGTCTCATCATCGTTAATATCCGGATACCCTTTCTCCGGGTACTTGTTAAACCGGGTACGCCCAAACCCTCGGATTACGGGTTGAAACGCCCATCCCTAGGGGGAACTCTTTTGTAGATAGGGATTTGATTAAACCAAATGTTTGAAACCTAACAGATCGTGGGCGAATGGTCAAGTTTGGGGTAGGAGGTAACTCCATTTTGAGGTTGAGTGTTCGATTTCTAGATGGTGGGGAGGGAGTTAATTTCTGAGTTTATATGATCCATATACAAAGACTGTTCTCGGAACGAAGGTTTACCTAGTTAGCACGTACGAAAGGTAGTAGTTAGAGGTGCTCCGTTATTAAAAAAAAAAAAAGGTGTTTGAAGGAATCAATGAGCAGTAACGTCGTCATCTATCAAACTATAAATAGAAAACTATTTCAAATCCCTATGTCCGAAATACATTCATTTTCAGTCGTAAGATTCCTGTGAGGACAAAAAAAAACTCATTTTCATTATCCAAACAAAAAAAATGAAAAATGAAAAATTAAAAAAAAACTCCAAAAAAATTACGGAAGTGCCATCTTCGTCTTAATGAAGTTGTTTCCGGATTTTTTTTTTTTTTTTTTGCAAGGTTAGTATTGTAAATATATGTAACGGGCCAAGTGTTTAGTACAGATACTGAAAGACGGTCCAGTTTTGTATTGGGCCAATGTTTCACCAATTGGGCTTTAAACCCAATTTGTATTTATTTAGCAAAACCTCTAGAGCCCATGGACCGTCACAATCGGAGCCCAAACTCCAATCCATGGAGAGTCAGAATCACGTATAGATACATAGAGTTGTATCAAACTACATCAATACATGAAATTATAAAATATATTAACTCAGTATACGAGTTTATTCCCGAATACCATGCAAAAATACGAGCTTTTGAAATATTCCCAAATTCTTGTTGGACCGTCAACAGAGGAAAGAAACAAACATTGGAATGAAAATTGATGTCAACACTATGTCAAGTTACATACAATATCACATCATCAGCCGTAAAAAACATTGCAAGAAACCCACATATATATACACATATACATACACATATGCGAATTTTCGAGGTTATCCTTAAAAAAAAATACATCTCTCGATCACGAGACCATGACTCAAAGAGGAATATAGACAATGCTATATATGTAATTCTAATTTTTGTTCTTTGCCTAATTATACATCACAAATTACTTTATAGAAAATGACATATATATATATATATATCGTAAGTAATACTAAAATGCACGTAAAATAAATTTGGACCGCATACAAAGTATGTGTAGCGATGTTTGAAATAATGGACCATTTTGCATTAGAGAAAAACAGGAAACGGATTCGGATTCGTTGATTGGGAACGAAGACAATGAACTCATCCTTGCATTTGATGTCACCATTCGAACAAATATCTATCCATGTCTCATCCACCAAAAGAAAATCGGAAAACTATTATGGAATATTACGAATGCAATATAAAAACCTTTCAAGTGTTCAGCCAATATGAATTCCATAGCAGATGAGGGAAATATAACATAATACATACAAAACGTATATATATAATCATATATGTATCTTTATCTTTTGCTTTTTTTTTTGGGATTTATTGTTGTTTTTTTTTAATATAAATTTTGAACATTTTTTCTTCAAATTTTCAAAAAGTTTAGAGTCACTTTGTGAAATGTTTTTTCTTTGTTACTCAAATGTACACTGATATTTGGAATTGCGATGGGTGTAAAATACGCAAATATTATAGATGATGTACAAAAACCAAATCATTGAATTAGATAATATTTTGCATACCTAATATTTTTCTTTACCGAATGATAGGGCGAAATAATGATTTTTTTTTCCAAAAAAAAAACAATATTTTTATTCAATGAAAGAAAAAAGCAAATGTTATATTGAAATCTAAAATTTAATAATTTAAAATAAAAAATAATTAGGATAGAAAATAATCGAAATATTTTATGACAAAATTAATATATCTTATATAATACGAGGATTTAACATTTACGATAGTTATTAAATGTTTTGTGGTCAGCAAATAACCAGCAATTATTTTTATTTTTTTAATATAAAAAAATAATTTATTTTGGATTTATAATTTTTGGGTTATGGGAAAAAATAAAATTAGTAAATAGTATTGTTGTTTTTTTTTCCCAATAAAAATATATCGATGAAAAGGTCCACATCTCTCAGCCCATCCAATTTGGTCAACGATTACAAAAGTCAACCATGAGGATCAACACGAGACAACGAATCCTGCAACTTGCATTGCTACCGACCACAACTGTTCAGGTAAATGTCTCATACTATATTGCTCTCGTGAATGCATTCTTTTTATAATGAAAAATAAAAATAATATTTTTATATGCATATGATATCAATTCAACCATAGTAGATGGTTATCGACCACATGATCACACAAAACATTTTATCAATGCAGTTTTGGCATCTGAACGTGACACTATGCACTCCAAAATTAAACAAATTCAAAATTGAAAAACAGAATATTAAACATGTAAACAAATTATAATAACAATATAGAAAATTAAATTGAATTAAAATGTGTTAAAAAAAAAAGAGATACAATGTTGCAACAATCAATGAGATAATCTTATTCTCAAGATGATAGTTTGCATGGACAGGTGGTGGAACAAATATGAGTTACAACACAAATACGTAACACTCATATTCGTTCCACTTCCTGTTGAAGCAAGCTAATTTTCTTGATAAGATTATATACTTCCCATATACAAAAAGCAACATACATATACATACATATACGTATATGCATGTGTATGTGTATGTGCTTTGTACGTATATGTGTATGGATACATGTTGCAATCAACATTATTATAAATGTACATGTTTAAACCGGTTAACCTTGAAAAACCAGTAGTTATTTTACCAGCAAAATTAGGTACGGCATTGATAGCTTATCACATGATGATGCGTGCTTATGAAAGTGATTGATAAAAAACAAAATGTATCAAATTATATATATATATATACGAATAAAAAACGGGATTACTTATTTTTATTTTATTTTGCTTAAATGCCAAGCAACTTTCCTATCGTCTTCGTCTTCCATTAACTCTAGTTTCCATCACGTTTATCTGAAAAGTTTATAAGATCTGATTCTACGAGAATAAAAATATCAATGGAATATATTCTAACAAATTACTCGAATCAAATATTATAAAATTCAAATACTATTTGTTTTCCACATTATTAATTTACTTTATTATGACCTACAGTATATATATATATATATATGTGTGTGTGTGTGTGGAATTATATAATAACTCATAAGGCTATTATCTCCAATGATATATTTATATATGCTTAGTATTATATGCATATATATATACTTAATGTTCTGATAATATTATATGTTCTCTTACAAAAGGTGACAAATTTTAATGTGTACAAAACTATAATACATCGAAATTTTCAAAATTGGCTTTACAGATATATCATAAAAAGAAACTAAGCAAAACCGGTGTTATTCTTTCAATAAAATAAATGATATACGGTTTTCATAGAAATTTCTATTTCTTATTTTTTAAATGCGGAAAATCCAAATCAAATTCATTGGAGGAAATCGTCGGTATATGGAATGGGATAATCTTTCGCCTAAACTTCGGGTATATACATGTACATACATACATACATATATATATTTATACATGTTCTTGCAATAGCGAAAAAGGTAATAACCAGCTAGCAAAGTCCCACAGAATTGCATCTGCTTATCATGTGGGTCGAATAATTTCAATATCCAAATTAATGGTTATTCATTATTGCCCCGAAAATAATGCTAATATCCTGATGCGGGGCCCGGCCTTATCCAACGGTCCATATAGGCTCTCAGTCTGATCTCTGCGTAGTCGCCACGTCAGACGAGAAAGATGCTATCTCTGTCTTCCTCTTTTAATTCAAGGAGATAGGTACGGTCGATGCACGTTAAGTAGGTCCCACAAGGGAGCAGACCTAATCGACTCACTGATGAGAAACTATCTCCTGCTTCTCATCCCACGGGTACAGTTGTGTAGCCACTGAGAGATCGCCACGTAGTGCTTACTCGGATTCAAGCCTACACGTAAGCAGATTTGTTTCGTAAACATTTGTTCCGTACTGAGTACATGTTACGGGGCGTGACCAAACCAGGGGTGTTGTGGTCATTTCTTCACTCTAACGCTTCGTCTTCTTCTTCTTCTTCTTCTTCTTCTTCTTCATCCTTCGTTTTCCTTTGTTCTATATGACCCAGAAAGAAAACAAGACACAAAAGGGGAGGAAAATTGGTTATTTTCCCGAGAAAATCCGAAGGTTTTGTTTCTCGGAGTGATGAGACCGAAACAGACGACTCGGACCGGTATTCGGATCCTCTGCAAACCCGTCCACCACTCTCTTCTCCATCTCCGAGCTGTCTTCTTATTCGTTCCGACTTAAATAGCTTCTCAGAGTAAATTCCTTCCGTGAAAGTTCCATACTTTTTCTGAATCAATCGAAACCCAGAAGAGGAAGAGAGAAAATTTCATTATTTCTATCTGTTTGTCTTTTGTTTCTGTTCTGAATGTCGTTGTCTCCGTCCATATTATCCGTCTTGTCGGAAGATCTTCTCGTTCGGGTCTACGGGTTTCTCGACCCGACTGGTCGGAAAGCGTGGCGACTCGTCTGCAGAGACTTCCTCCGGATCGACTCGCTGAGTCGGACCTCGATCCGAGTCCTCCGGATCGAGCTCTTCACTGCTCTCCTCCTCAGGTACCCAAACCTCTCCTCCGTCGACCTGTCGGTATGCCCGAGAGTAGACGACAGCGTCGTTCTGCGTCTGGCTCTAAACGGCCCGGCCTTGAGGTCGCTGAACCTGAGCCGAGCTACGGGTGTCGGAGCGAGGGGCATGGAAACGGTGGCGCGTGCGTGCCAAGCTCTAGAGCGCGTGGACGTGTCTCATTGCTGGAGATTCGGCGACTGGGAGGCGGCGGCGCTGTCGGTAGCGGCGGGGCTGAGGGAGCTGAGGATGGACAAGTGCTTGGGTCTAAGCGATGTCGGATTGGTCAGGATCGCCGTCGGATGCAGTAAGCTGGAGAAGATTAGCTTGAAGTGGTGCATGGAGATTTCCGATCTGGGAATCGATCTTCTCTGTAAGAAATGCAGAGACTTGAAGTCTCTCGATGTGTCTTATCTCAAGGTTTGTCTGAAAATTTTCTCTCCTTTACGGTTTCGTCTCTGTTTCGCTACTCTGCTTAGGTTACTAAGAAAATCTGGGTTTTTTCCCCATGAATCTGGAAATAGATTAATGGTAGGGTTAGGATTAGGATTAGGATTGAATATCCCGAATTTAGTATCTCACAAAGTTTTCAAGTCTAGTTTGTGTTCATGTACGTAGCTTAATTCGTTGGTCAAATGTAAAGATTAACATCTGATAATCTCGATTCTGTTTCTTTTCAGATTACGAATGATTCAATTTGCTCCATTTCTTCGCTGCCTAAGCTCGAGGTTTTGTTAATGGTGTGCTGCCCTTTGATCACTGATGCTGGTTTACAGTTTCTGGAGAATGGCTCTCCTTCATTACAGGTATCACCTTATCTTCAGTACCATTTATGAGATTCGTTTTAGATTCTTCTGTCTTTGGTTTTTGATTTCGCAAACGCGTAAGAACCATGAACAGGAGATCGACGTAACGAGGTGCGAGCGTTTGAGTCTGTCCGGATTGATATCTGTACTCAAAGGCCACCCTGATCTTCGACAGTTTAGGGCCGGCCATACTGTATCCGTAAGTACGAAATGATCCTCGCCTTTTCGTATGATAAACCAACTGTAATTTCTCTGAAGATTGATATTCTATTTCCCAGGAAATCTCCACGAGCTTCCTGCCGTATATCAGAGCCATGAAAAACCTCGAGACAATCATCATCGACGGAGCTTGTATCTCTGATTCGTTTCTCAGGAAACTAAGCTCTAACTGCAGGTTCTTAACCGAGATTGGACTGAGCAAATGCATCGACATGACTGATATGGGCGTGATGGCGCTTGTGAGAGGCTGCGTAAACCTGAGAACTCTTAATATGTCGTGCTGTGGATCCATCACAGACCTGGCATTATCCGCTGTGGTCGAATCTTGCCAGTATCTACAGATTCTGAAGCTAGAGTCTTGTAATATGATCACCGAGAAAGGTCTCCGTGGGATTGGCCATTGTTCTAAGCTTCTCCAGGAGCTTGATCTCACCGATTGCTGTGGCATAAACGACAGAGGCCTAGAATATATCTCTCGGTGTTCAAATCTGTTGAGATTGAAACTCGGGCTTTGCACAAATGTCTCGGACAAAGGGCTCTTCCATATCGGGTCTAACTGTACGAAGCTTCTAGAACTTGATCTGTACCGGTAAATTTCCAGCACGGATTCTTACTGTTTCCTAGTAGATACTAAATATGCAGATTTCGACGTCTCTTTCTAACCGATTCTCTGCTATTTTCTGATTTCTATGCAGGTGTTCTGGTATCGGAGATGAGGGTTTAGCTGCTTTATCCCGTGGTTGCAAGAGCTTAAACCGGCTCAATCTATCGTACTGCGACGAGCTTACTGACACCGGAGTGGAACACATCGGCCAACTTGAGCAGCTCGGTCATTTAGAACTTCGAGGAATCAAGAAGATAACCGGAACTGGTTTAGCCACCATCTCATTGGGATGCAAGAAACTGGTTTACCTGGACTTAAAGCTGTGCGAGAAGATCGATGACTCGGGCTTCTGGGCACTCGCTTACTTCTCCAGAAACCTACGACAGGTAAAAAAAAACCCGTAGGTTATGACCTTTGTACTTGGCTTGTCCTAAACCCGAAATCTTGAAACAACGACCAAATGGTTATGTTTTGGCAGATAAACTTGAGTTACTGTTCGGTTTCGGACACGGCCCTATGCATGGTGATGAGCAACCTGACTCGGCTACAGGACATGGACCTGGTGCACCTGAGCAATGCCACCGTGGAAGGGTTCGAGCTCGGGCTTAGAGCCTGCTGCACTCGCCTCAAGAAGCTCAAGCTTCTAGCCCCTCTCCGTTTCTTGCTCTCATCCGAGTTGCTCGAGAGGCTCCACGCCCGTGGCTGCCGCATCAGATGGGCTTGACCCGTGACATCGTAAACCTTCACCATCAAGAAGAGTTTAAAGGCGTCTACTTTCGGTTATTTTGGTCAGTTCACTAAATCAACACACAAAGTTTATATCTTTTCTGTGAGCTTGGTTGGAATCTGTGGTCGCTGATAAACTTGCATCTCGCTTAGTTCGAATCTTCATGGGTTTTCTTTTACCTTAGTTGCAAAATCTATAGTTTTTCATCAGGTTGGTTGGAATCTACATCGGTTATTTACATAACCGATGTAAAATCAGATTAACCGGTTAACTATCGGGTCGGGGGTGGTTTAAGGTTGTCTGTAACCAGAAGTAGAATCCTAAATCCAGAGATTGACGAAGCTTTGGTCGAAGGGAGAAAGCATAACTTTGCCTTGAGAAAAGAGTAACAGAATAAGACAAAAAAGAAATGTGAATATGTTCACAAAGTTCCGAAAGAGGCAAAGAACATTACTTTAACAGCAATCAATGCTCGAACCTCACCAAACTGTATATATGAACTGCACATTCCTTCGATCTTTTCTTCCAGAGAAAACCGAAACCCATCACCCGAAAATGGGCATTGTTTATTTTCTCGTCGTCCTTCTCTTTTGGCCATCTCTACTGGCTTCGTTTCCCGACACGACAGTCTTTAACACCCATGAAGATGGGAACTTTCGGTCTTTAGTCGAACAAGCTTGCAAAGATATCGACGCCCATGACTCGTGCATCTCGAATATTCAAACCCATATTGAGAAATCAGGTCGCGGACGCAACCCTCGTTCGGTTTTGACCGCAGCGATCAAGGCGGCCCACGACGAGGCCAAGCATGCCGTGGAAGGGATCCCGACGTTTACGACGTTATCCATCAGTTTCCGTGAACAAGTCGCCATAGATGACTGTAAGGAGCTTCTGGACTTCTCGGTGACGGAGCTGGCTTGGTCGATGGCCGAGATGAGCAAAATCCGGCAAGGAAAAAGCGGTCCTGACTCGGGAGGTAACCTAAAGGCCTGGCTCAGTGCCGCGCTGAGTAACCAAGATACTTGTCTCGAAGGGTTCGAAGGGACAGACAGAAAGTTAGAGACTTTACTCAGAGGGAGCTTAAGACAAGTCACTCAGCTCATAAGCAATGTCTTGGAGTTGTACACGCAGCTCAATAGCCTGCCCTTCAAGCCATCTCGGAACGAGACGCTGCAGAATTACAAAAACACCCCTGCCGCAGCACCCGAGTGGCTCAGCGAGTTGGACGAGAGCCTGGTACAGGCCGATCCACGTGGGATGAACATGAATGCAGTGGTGGCGCAAGACGGGAGCGGGAAATACAGGACGATCACGGAGGCGATCGACGAGGCTCCGAACCATAGCAACACAAGGTACGTTATATACGTGAAGAAGGGTGTGTATAAAGAGAATATCGATATGAAGAAGAAGAAAACGAATATTATGATGGTCGGCGACGGAATTGGACAGACTATCATCACCGGTGACCGGAATTTCTTGCAGGGCCTTACCACTTTCCGGACAGCTACCGTCGGTTAGTACAAACAATCTTTTCTTTTTTTGTTAATGTCATGTCTGAAAAATTAACCGGAAGATCAGAAAAGCACATATGCTTTCTGTAAATTGCAGAAAATCAAAGCTTCTACAGTGTTTTTTAATCTATCCATTTCTTGTTCTAAAAGTGTATTGATATATTCTTTTTTCCTTCTTGATTAGCGGTTTCTGGAAAAGGGTTCATAGCGAGGGACATAACATTCAGGAACATGGCCGGACCGAAGAACCACCAGGCCGTGGCCCTGAGGGTCGACTCGGACCAGTCGGCCTTCTTCCGATGCAGCATGGAGGGCTACCAGGACACGCTCTACGCCCACTCCTTGCGCCAGTTTTACCGAGAATGTGAAATCTACGGAACCATAGACTTCATATTCGGAAACGGTGCAGCCGTCCTGCAGAACTGCAAAATCTACACTCGGGCCCCGTTGCCGCTCCAGAAGGTAACCATAACCGCGCAGGGCCGGAAAAACCCTAACCAGAACACGGGGTTCGTGATCCAGAACAGTTATGTGTTGGCCACGCAGCCTACTTATCTTGGACGGCCATGGAAATTGTATTCGAGAACTGTGTATATGAGCACTTACATGAGCCAGATGGTTCAGCCGAGGGGCTGGCTCGAGTGGTTCGGTAATTTCGCTCTCGACACCTTATGGTATGGTGAGTATAAGAATTATGGGCCTGGTTCCGCCCAATCAAGCCGAGTTAAATGGGCTGGGTTCCATTTCATGGACAGGCCCGCTGCCGAGTTCTTCACTGTGGGTTCCTTCGTCGATGGCCGGAGATGGCTCCCGGCCACTGGGGTCCGGTTCACGGCCGGCCTAACCAATTAATTTAAACCATGTTTTATATATTGTTGATTCGTGAGCCTCGGATTAGTTGGGCGTTGATGTATATTTGTGATTTGTGTGTATGCGCATTTATATTGAATATAATTAATGTAGTGGCTCCCGACAATATTTTTGGTGATTATATTCCATGATAACCGTTCGTAGCTATAATCGAAATTATTATTATCGATATTACTCCAAGATCTTGATTGGCTAATCACAAACGGGCATTTGGCACGAACAAATTTTGGGTATGGACTGCCACTAACTGATATATGTATATACATTCATGTTTCCCACGGTTGTAATTGTCACTAGTAAATTCAAAATTTATAATTCGGTAGGTCTAGTCCAGTTAATAAATTATGCATAAAAAAACCATGAAATTGTTAATGAATTTAAAATGTTCAATCGTTATGGACTATTAGTCTGTAAAGAAATGCAGGTTATATCTTATTATATATTTATAACCGAATTATAATCTAAAATCTTATAACAGCTTTATAGAATTTTATAAACGTATAAAAACTAAAGAAACTCTACACAAATCACCAATATGATACTTTTCAATTAAAACTTCCAGAAAAAGTACACAATCCATTTTTTGTCAAAAACATAAAAAAGAATTAAATTAAAAATAGTATGAGAATTTTTCTTCGATGAATTTATAACGATTAATTATAACGGTAGTAAATAGATTTCGAAGTATTCGTGGAAATGGGCAAATTCCATATATATAATTTCCTTTACGTAGATCCCTTGAATTAGTCTGTCACAACAATGTCTGAATATAACAAATTAAGAAATGAATAAATGAATAGAAAAATGACTAAAGATATGAGATCCTGATCTGATTTTTTTTTAAATTTATTTAGTTTGCTGTATATTGGGGAATTCTGAAATATCAATTGTTGGTCGCACGATTTACATACATTCATACGATTTTTATTCACATGAAAACAATATTCATAGGTATGCATACATACACATATATATATACACTCATAAACACATTTCGGTCAATCAAATTGAGATTACGAAATCAGTGACAGATAGAATCTAAAAGAGCCATGGCTCAAAAACCATCAATCACAAGCTTCTTCGTCATGATCATTCCTATGTTTCTCTTCTCTGTTCTTACCCATGCCCAACCCACGGTCTTACCAGAAGATCTCTGCAAATCCACGATTCAACAATCGGTTTGCAATTCCATCTTAACCGGAGCAGAACCGGGCCCGGTTACCGGTTTCGCTCGAATCGCTCTCGAGAAGTCTCAACAAGTTACCCAAAGGCTTTTAGCCTCCCTTGCCACGTCACCGCCGTCGTCACTTGCCCACGAAGATTGCCAGTTTCTCGCCAGACTGAGCGTCGAGCATCTGACACGTGTCGCCGGTAAAATCACCGGCGTCGATGTTCTCGGCGTCTCCGAAGTGGACGAGTCGGTCACGCTTCTCAGCGCGGCTCTCTCGAACTATGACACGTGTCACGAGTCAATTTTCGAGGTGCTCGCCGGAAAATCGCCGTCACCGGAGGAGAGCGGAGTTCTCGCCCGCGTTTCCGATGGCGCGAAGGTGATTAGTGTTTGCCTTGCGTTGTTCAGAAAGGCTTGGCCGGCGCCGTCTTCATTGCCGGGGATAAAGCCGCCTGAGAGGCATCTGTTGGAGAAGAAATGGTCGGAAGTTTCGGTGAGGAAGATGTCTGAGCGAGAGAGAATGATCTACGAGAGAGTTATGGTGGTCGGACGAAAACTTCTTCAGGTGATAAACATGGGTCCGAATAGTTTGAGGTTAAAATAAAAGAAAATATAATATTGGAAAAAGAGAATTACAGAATATTTAAATTTTGTTTAAGGGCTGAAATTTTTTTCAAAAATCTCCTAGATAAATTAGTTTTAATAATTTTATTTACAATTGATTGAAAAAAAAATAGAATATACTAGAATACTTTTTTTAAGGTTAAACATTTTAACATTAGAAAAAAAATTAAAACAACCATATATTTTATAAAAGTTTCGAAATTGCAAATTCCACCTTGTATTTTCCGAACAGATTTAATTAAGTCCATCTAATTTCTCTTGCGCTTTTCCCCCAGACAGTCGCCTTTTCCAAACCACGGCACGGCGGCAAAGGTGGCGAAGACGGTGGTGGTGGTGAACCCTAGCGACCCTCCCGCCTTTTCCAACATAACGGCCGCAGTGGCAGCGGCTCCGACCAAGGCCGAATCTACGGACGGATACTACGTAATATATGTCGTGGCCGGAATCTACCAAGAGTACGTGACCATACCAAGCGACAAAACTTACGTCATGATCGTCGGCGACGGCATTGGTAGGACCATCATCACCGGAAACAAAAGCGTCGGCGACAATTCCACCACTTTCGCTTCCGCCACTCTCGGTAACTTCATATATAAGAAATTTCAGTGACGATAATAGTTATAAGTGCAAAAAATCATACAATAGATGTCGTTTATAGTCCAAATGGAAGTGATCGAAATGGTATTTTGGTGGGCATATGATATAAAATGCATGGTATTTTGGTGGATATATGTAATAAGTTTCTATCAGATTCATCCATGAATATTGGCAAACATCGGTTTCGATTGTCGGATATTATAAAATTGATTATCCAGATACGATTTCTAAATAATGCATTCTCCACTCCTAATCTATATGTATATATATCATCAAAATATATAACATTGTCTATATTAATTTTGTATGTATTCAGCGATCAACGGAAAAGGATTTGTGGCGGCTAACATAACGGTGCGAAACACGGCGGGAGCAGCCAAACACCAAGCAGTAGCTGTCCGTACAAGCGCAGACATGTCGGCATTTTTCAGATGCAGCTTCGAGGCTTACCAAGACACGCTCTACGTCCATTCCCTCAGACAGTTCTATAAGGAATGCGAAATATTCGGTACGGTCGATTTCGTATTCGGTAACGCAGCCGCGGTTTTTCAGAGTTGTAACATTTTCCCGAGATTGCCGCTCCAAGGACAATTCAACGCCATTACTGCTCAGGGCAGAACCGACCCGAACCAGAACACGGGGATTTCGATCCAGAATTGTACCATTAAACCGAGTACCGAATTGGTTTCCGGTAATTTCCCGGTTCAGACTTACTTGGGAAGGCCGTGGAAGGAGTATTCGAGGACGGTTTATTTGCAGAATTTCATGGATGGACTCATTGATCCCAAGGGATGGACTGAATGGATGGGTGATTTCGCGTTGAAAACTTTGTATTATGCCGAATTTAAGAATACCGGACCCGGTTCAGATACGACTAACCGGGTTACATGGCCCGGTTATCACGTGATTGTCAACGAAGACGAAGCCGAGTCGTTCACTGTCAGCAAATTCATTGTCGGAGATTCATGGCTGCCAGTAACCGGAGTTCCTTTTTTCGGCGGGCTAATGGCTTAATGTCGAAAAACGAAGAAGAAAAAAGAAAAAAACGATCTTTTACTACCGCTAATGATTTTTAGATAATTTTATGTCTGAATATTTAATTTACGAGAAAATAAGAAAGGGGATTTTCTACGTGTGGTTGTATGTTTCGTTGTTAATGGCGTTGTTTCGGTTTATGATGTTATAATACACTTACTTGACTGTTGCTTAATTATATGACAAAGATTAATTTCTAATTTATTTGGTGGTGAAGCAAAACTGCTGACCGTGGTTTATGGTAAACATGGATATATCACATATTAATTGAGATTTTAATGTTTTACGATCGATTAATATACTAATGCGAATTAGAAATTGCTATGGCCTTTGGTTATTTATGGTTTTAACTTCATATATACACTAGACTATTGAAAGTCATTTTTGGGTCATTTTTGGTGTTTCAATCCCGAAAATTAGTTTAGAAAATAAATTTTTGTTTTTTAGTGACTAATTGTTCATATAATACACGTTAAAATTAAAAAATTATCCCTACTATACACCATATCAAATATATATATATATATAATATATAGATAAAATACAATATTTAATAATGTTAATACAATATCAAATAAAATTTTTATTTTATCAATAATTTAATTTTTTTTATAAAAAGGTAAAACAAAATTTTTTTATATTTATATTTATAATTAATTTTACATAAAACATTACATCTTTCTATTTAAAAAATATTTTTTCATAATGATTAAAATTATTGAAATAATACACGTAATATCAAAAAATTATCTGATAACCTAACGTACCATGCACGGTATATTATATACGTAACATATATTATTCAATACATTTAGTAAAATATCAACTAAAATATTAGTTCTAATAAGAGTTTTAATATCTATTTATAAAAGAATAAAATAATTTTATCTCTTTTATATTTATAATTAGTTTTACATAAAATATTACGTCTTTCCATTTAAAAATATTTTCTCGCAATGATTTGAATTAATGATATAATATACGTAATATTAAGATAACTCATCGTATCGTGCACGGTATATAGTATATGTTATATATTTAACAAATCTAATAAAATATCAAATAAAATATTGATTTTATAAAAAAATTAATATTTATTTATAAAAAATTTAAATAATTTATGTCTTTTATATTTATGATTAGTTTTATCTAAAACATTAGTCTTTTCATTTTAAAAATATTTTTCCACGATTATTTAAATTAGTGATACAATGTATGTACTATTAAAATATTATTTGATAACTTATCATACCATGCATGTTATATAGTATACGAAACATATTTAATAAATTTAGTCAAATATTTATTTTATCAAGAACTTTATAAATTTTTTTGTAAAAAAAATAAAAACTTTTGTTTCATTTATATTTATATATTTAAAATTTTAAATAAAAATATTAGATCCTTCCATTTAAGAAATATTTTTCCGTGACAGTTTAATTAGCCGATATAATATACGTAACATTAGAAAATTATATAATAACCTAACGTACCATGCACGGTATATTTTATACGTAAAATATGATATTTAATAAATTTAATAAAATTAATTCTTTCATAATAAATTAAATTATTCATATATAATTAACAAATTATTTGATAAACTTATATGTCGTGAACTATAGAATATATAAATAAATTATGACATTTGATTTAGTAAAATATCCAATAAAATATTTGTTTTTGTTAAAAAATTAAAATGTCTTTAAAAACATTTAAAAAAAATTTGTTCATTTGTACTTATATTTATATTTTTAAATATTTTTTGGTCATTATCAAAATTTATTTAAATTCCAAATTTCTCTCTCTCTCTCTCTCTCTATATATATATTTAATCCAGCTATAAAAATATTCATATTTATATCATTTTTCTTGTTTTTGTATTTGGTGACAAAAATTTACTCATCTTTCCAATTATTTTTAAAGTTCATGTAATTTTTTTTAAACGCTTTCAAAATCTAAGGGTACAATTTTGTGTAAACATTTTCTAATATATATTGTCATACCAATAAATTTCAGACATAAAAAATATGTATTATTTCGTGGAGAATAATTATACCATCAAATTGGTTTTATATATATATATATATATATATAATGAGAAGATCACGAAAGATTTATAATTTTTAATGCATATAAAATATTGGAAAACATAAGGAAATGCATTACTATGGTTATATTACAATGTTGCAGAAACAAAGCATTAGAAAACCATACCTCTCATGAAAGAGAGAAATGCTTATTTTTGTTTTTTTTATTGCATAAAAAAAAATTACATTCAAAGAGACAGAAACTGCCCCCAAAGCATCCTCTCGAACCTCTCGATGCTTGGAACGAAATCCCTTAGAACATCCTCTTTGCTGACAGCCTTCTGCGACGACGATGACGAGGCGCCCTTTGATGAAACGGGATTTTTCGGAGGGTTATCGCCATTGCTGGCCACAGCATTGTTCGACGGACCGACGTCCTTCGAAGCGGGATTTTTCGGAGGGTTATCGCCATTGCTGGCCACAGAATTCCTCGACGGACCGGCCTTCGAAGCGGGGTTTTTTGGAGGGTTATCGCCATTGCTGGCCACAGAGTTCTTCGACGGACCGGCCTTCGAAGCGGGATTTTTCCGAGGGTTACCGCCATTGCTGGCCACAGGATTCCTCGACGGACCGGCCTTCGAAGCGGGATTTTTTGGAGGGTTATTGCCCTTGCTGGCCCCAGAATTCTTCGGTGGAACGACCTTCGAAGCGGGATTTCTAGGAGAAACATGAGTAGGACTGGGATTAGGAGCAGGAGAAGGGTTAGGAACGAGATCACTCGACGACCCATCATTGTCTGAGGGAGGAACATCATCGGGAGGAATGTTCAAATCCATGCCACGGTGCCTCTTAGAGCCATCGGCGCCCATGGGATTGAATTGATCAGAACGGTCAGAGTCGGAGGCGTTTCGCTTGGGGTTAGGGCGAGCGACCGCAGGAGGATTAGTGCCATTAGGCGGTGGCGAAACATTGATGGATAATCCACCGTTGTTAGAGGGTGTATTGTCAAGAGACCTGTTAATCACCTGGAGATTGAATAAGTAGGACAAACTGTGAGAATTAAGAGATTCGACCTCTTTGTTTTTCTTCAGCTTCTCGTCGTCTTTCTCCCGCTTGTGGGCGTTTTGATGCCCGCCCAGCGCCCTCGTCGTCCGGAACGCTTTGTCGCAGTAGCGGCACATGAAAATCCGAGGCTTGGAGCTGGCCCCTCCCTCCTGCAGCTGCTCTCCATTGGATATCGGGCTAGGGTTTTCAGTCTTGTCCTTTCCCGACAGTGATTGCTCTCCTTGGTTGTGGTTCTCCATCAGGGTACCAACTCTCTCTCTCTCTCTTTCACTGCTTAGACAATTGCTGTCTTTGTGAATTGACATTAAGGAAGATATGCGCTATTTATTGGCTAAATAATTCAATGCTATTAAACTGAATAGAGCAATTATGTTATAAAATCTTCAAGTGAGCCAAATACATTAATATATTTTTCAAGTGATTGGTATATATCTGAATTCGTGAGTGGAGCATTTTAATGTTCTTTTCCTTAAAAGAATCTTTGGTCCTTCCTATTGTGGCTCCTCTCGTTTAGGACATTTTTCAGTGATTACAACAACATTACAACTCAATATTTTTTTTTTATAGATGTTAATTTATTTCGACCTTATCACTTTACATGTTTTACTATCCTATTCTACATCTAAAAAAAGAAAAAGAATAATAACGAATGTCGAGGATTGTTATTAAACCATGAAAATATGTGTATATATGATCGAAAAAGAATTTATTTTATTCATTCATCCATAATAATTTTAATAATTCTTTTTACACGCGTTTTTTAACCTTTTATTCGCGTTATATGATTTCCCTTGGAGAAACGAAAAGATGCCGAGGGCGAAAGAGCAAATTGAAATATCGACCGACCGAGGGGGAATTAAATCAATTGCTCTTTAACTGAATCTCCTTTCAACGGGAAATTTCCTAATCAAATTTTTTTACATTTCCAATTTAGACGCTGAGACAGCATCGCGTTCGCAAAGCACATATAGAAAATGATGTGTCTCTTGGGGAGATTTACATGGAAAGTTGAGGCCTTGACAGTTATTTGTTGCATATAGAGATGATACGTGTATAATTTGTATGTCTATCCAGCTTGCATGATTATCCGAAATCCAACGGCCCACAGAAAATTGTTTTTTTTGCATTGTGGTATATATAATATAACAGTTAATATAAGGTATTTCGATTAAAACATTATATAAAATAGCAAAAAAGTGTTGTCGAGAATTAGAATTTGATGTTGAACCAATCTTGTCCTAAGGACACTTGAGATTTCGGCAAGATCACAACAATGGCATTAGCATCTAACTGTTTGGTTTTGAGGACATATACTTAAAGCTCCCCAAAACTTGCATCTCATGATAAACATATATTTTCTATTATTTATAGTCTGACTCCAACCATCATACGTGCAAACATTTTTTTTATTAGTTTGGAAGTTCACTAAATCTTCGATACAAATATAACTTCCAAAATCCGGAGATCTCTGAATTAAATTGTACATTTCCTTTCCAACCGCTGCTCGAACATTAAACTTGGGATAAATGCAACTCCTACCCTTTTCAATCACCTATATCACTCGCCAATTACATCTTTTTATTTAAAAAATATTTGTTTATGATGATTTGAATTATTGAAGTAATACATGTAATATGAGAGAATTATTAACCTAACGTACCATGCACGGTATGTTATATACGTAGCATACATGCGTGGATTTGGTATCGATGTGGTCATATTTTTTTGATATCGATCGATCTTCGTTCCTTAACATTCATTGAACATAAGATGAAGTTGCTAACTTTCTTACATTAAAATTAAAAGCAAGTAACTTCATACATGAGAGATAAGGGCGTCTCCTACCATTTTCAACCACCTATATCACTCGGCCACCACGAATTGGATACTACGTCTTTTTATTTAAGAAATATTTGCTCATGACGATTTGCATTATTTAAATATGACACGTAATATGAGAGATTTATTAACCTAACGTACCATGCACGGTATGTTATATACGTAGCGTACGTGTGTGGATTTGGTATCGATGTGGTCATATTTTTTGACATCGATCGATCTTCATTCCTTAACATTCATTGAACATAAGATGAAGTTGCTCACTTTCTATACATTAAAAGCAAGTAATTAACTCCATACATGAGATCTGAGATAAGGACATCTTTTATCCTTCTCAACCAGTTATACCACACGACTACCACGAATTTGATACTACGTCTTTTTATTTAAGAAATATTTGTTCATGATGATTTGAATTATTTAAGTAATATATGTAATATAAGAGATTTAATTATTAACCTAACGTACCATGCACGGTATCTTATATACATAGCGTACGTGCATGGATTTGGTATCGATGTTCACCTGTTTTTGATATCATTCAATCTTCATTCCTTAACATTCATTAAAAATAAGATGAAGTTGCTTATTTTCTATACACTTAAAGCATGTAACTTCATGCATGAGATCTGGGACAAGGGCATCTCCTATCATTCTCAACCAGTTATACCACACCGCAACCACGAATTGGATACTACATCTTTTTATTTAAGAAATATTTGTTTGTGATGATTTGAATTATTTACGTAATACATGTAATATGAGAGATTTATATTAACTTAAGTACCATGCACGGTATCTTATATACATAACGTACGTGCGTGGATTTGGTATCGACGTGGTCACATTTTTTTGATATCGATCAATCTTCATTCCTTAACATTCATTAAAAATAAGATGAAGTTGCTCACTTTCTATACACTAAAAGCAAGTAACTTCATACATGAGATTCGGGACAAGAGCATCTTCTATCATTCTCAACCAGTTACATCACTCGGCTACCACGGATTGGATATTACGTCTTTTTATTTAATAAATATTTGTTCATGATGAATCGAATCATTTAAGTAATACATGTAATATGAGAGAGTCATTAACCTAACGTACCATGCACGACATGTTATATACGTAGCGTACGTGCATGGATTTCGTATCGATGTGGTCATATTTTTTTGATATCGATCAATCTTCTTCGTTAACATTCATTGAAAATAAGATAAAATTGCCCACTTTCTATACACTAAAAAGCAAGAAACTTCATACTTGATTTGGAGGGAGCATAGAAAAGAATGTGATACTAATTGGAGGACTGAAGGGGTGCATACACTCGAAAGGGCATGTATTTATTGATGCGTCTATTAGAAGAGACACGATAGTTGAGTGTGTCTTTCTTTGATATTTGTTCGTTCTCCATAAAGAGGGAACTACCTCAAAAGGCTTATCGAGAGAGCATTTAAGTCATGGTTAGGGGTGAGCGTCTCGGTTCTGTCCATTGGAACCCAACTCTATCGAACCAAAAATTTCGATATTTTTTTTCGAATCGTACCATTCAAAATTTCTAAACGGTATATTTTTTTTTATAAAACTGAATTTTACGAAATCGAACTGAACCGAACTTTATAAAATTCTCAAAAAACTGAAATTTTCTTAAAAAATCTAATTTTTTTTAATAAAACCGAAATCGAACCGTACCGAAATCGGAACCGAACCGAATAAAATACGGTATTAATTTGGTACAAATTTTAGAATACCGAATAAACCGTTTCTGAACCGAACCGCTAAGATTCCGAACCGAATCCCGAAAGCCCACCCCTAATCGTGGTATTATGTTTTGGCTCTCTAGTAGTTGGATTCCTAATCACCAACAGAAGACAAACGGAGAATGATGGCGTGATTCCAATCGTGATTAAAAAAATAGATCTGAACGGGTAGGCTTTTGAATTCTGCATTCCTAATTTTTCTTACAGGGACAAAGTTGATTTTGATGTTATAACTTGTAACTTCTCTTGTTTCTAATGTTCATCTCTATCCTTGTCGTATTTTGAAAAGTTTAGCATATTCTTTGTCGAGCATATATATGAGTGTTAGCAAGGACAAGACAGATAAAATGAATGTCCAAATGTATGGGCAAAGTTTTCTTCATTCAGTTAAGCATATGTCTAGCAAGCGGGCTACCAGTTAATAAACTGAATCACATTATCTATAAGTCTGCTCGGGTTATCGATATGAATACAATGACAGATGCTCAACCTTAGTCTCTTCTTCTTGAAAAAAAAACGACAAGATGATACATAACTTCACTCTTGCCGTGCGGTCGAAAGCTCTAAACACAAGTAAAGCTTGTTTTGCCCGAAGAAGAGAGTAAAGGAAGTCGAGATACCCGGCATTTAGAACATGTTTTCCCCTTCTCTTTTACATGTGATTTTGATCAATAAAACAGTTTGATAACTCTCTATATATATTACACATATTGCTCGAGAAAAATAACGATCCCTTTCAAGTCCAAAGATACCAATCTCGACTAATAAGAATGCCATCCGGACCAAACAGCATGTTCTTATAGAAGTGTTTTGGAATTTTGAAACCATGTACCTTGTGAACATGGAAATTGATCGATTTTTTTCCATCTTTGAAGTCCGAAAAATCCGTTTCACTCTCAAAATCTCCATGGTTGCAGTTCAAACTCGTAAGGATACAAGAACTTTAAGAACGTTCGTATATTTCACGAGTGATGCCAAGAATTGGCAGATATTTCCGAAAAGAGATTGATAACATCCGCTCCTCATTCACACACACACAACAAATCTATCTTCAAATTAAGATGAGCATATGTAACTCATGATCCTTGAAAGATGGTTATAGTAAAGCCTAAGCATTATATAGGCAACAAGCCTTGCAAGTTTAGCTTCTTATATAAACTCATAACTGCACCATGATTCTGCCATTTTGATTAAGTTCAGAACACATTGTCTTGCTTAAATATTTATGCCGTTTCTAAAAGCCGTCGTAAATATGGAAAAATATCGTCGATATATCGAGAGTAACATCCGTCCAATGCATTCGTATACAAGGAATATGTTTTGTACGTCGTGTA